GTGTTCTACACAAACTCTGGTACCAGCTCTTGATCCCTTACAGCACTTGGTGTGCAATCACACCAAGAAAGTGAGAGCTTTGGCATTTACAACTCAAGGATCCAGAGAGAGGTATGACGATTCATGGATCCCATCTCATATGGGGAGATCTAGTCTCCATACACATCTCCTTGTCCCTCTGCTTTACCTGTGGCAGGTTAGGGCCAGAGCCAACCTGTCCATGCCTGCGAAACCTGCCCACAGCCAAGGGGCCCTGTGCAGCCAACTGCTTGCCTCCCCTCCCCACCCCCCCAGCTTTGTCGGCCCTGGCCCATATTAATGCATGGGCAAACATGCCCAGGGCCCCCTTCCAGCTCAGGGTCCTGGGATCCTCACCAGCAGTAAAGTGAAAGCTGCAGTTTTAAACTTGGTGCCCATTTTTGGTGCCAAGTTTAAAACTGCAGCCCTCACATTTGCTTCCTTGGCAGCTGGAAGCAGGGCTCCTCCACCAATGGGGCTGAGGGAGTGGGGGCAGGGCTGGGGTGTTGCCTGAAGAGCCACACCATGCTGTACCTGTGGGCCGGGTGGTGCCACGCCTGTGGGGAAGGGGGCTGAGCCAGACTGGGAGAGCCCTGCCTTACCTGGAAGGCAGTAAGGGCTGGGCTGGCTGGGCCAGAAGCACTGCACCATGCTGCGCCTTTGTGGGCTGTGGCATTACAGCCCCCCAAAATTCATGTTAGCTCCCTCCTCCAGCTGAGCTACCCCTTCCAGGGCCTCCACCTGCTCACAGAGACATGGTGTAGCGCTCCCTGTTGGGCCCAGCCCAGCCCTCTACATCTGCAGCATTGCTCAGGATGGCCAAGCAAAAGTTCCCTGCACATGACTGGCTGCAGGGGGGTGGGGAGGGAGAGGGCGGATGGCCGCTTGTGTGTGTGTGTGGGGGAGGGGTCTGTGTAATATCTTTTATTAGACCAACTAAATAGTTAGAAACATTTTTCTTAGCAAGCTTTTGGGTTTAAAAACCCTTGGACAAGCTGGGGAAGCATCTGCAGTTGGTGTGTGTGCTCTTCCTGGATGGAATGAAATAGTAAAGAAGTCAGAGGCTGGGCTGCAGGCAAGAAAGTCAGTCAGTGAAAATGTAAATTGAGGAGTCAGTGGGTGAGAGACAGGCTGGGGGGGTGAGGGGGAAGGGGGATGTAGCAGGTAAAAGTGGAGAGGTACCTGGGGAGTCAGATGTCAGGCAGGTTATAGTGTGTCATAAATCCAATGTCTATGCTTAGTCCAGGGATGTACTTGGTAGCCATGTTGGTCTGAGACAAGAAGAAACATAAAAATCTAGAACTCTTGGTTCCAAAATAATACCTTTTATTAAACCAAAGGGGAAATCACAAGAACATTGTCCTTTTCTGCAAGCTTTTGTGCTCAAAAGCCCTTCTTCAGGCTCTGGGAAAAGTATAGCTGGTAAAAAGTCCCCATAGATAGGAAATAAACTTCATTTTTGCACAGAGGGAGCTGGAGATGGAAAGCTGTCCCTTTGGGTCCGTGGGAGTGTCTTTGAGAGTTGTGCTGAGTTGCTCTTTGGTATGTAAATTAGTTGAAATTCCTTCCCTGGAGGTGTCAGATGGCAGGCAGGGAGGTAAAAAATATTTCTTGTTTTTCTGAAATGAAGTTTAAAATCCAAAATCAGCTAAAATTTGGCTTCTTCTGTGTTTCAGGGATGCACTTGGTAGTTGTGTTGGTCTGAGACCAGAAGAAATACAAAAATCTAGAACTCTTGGTTCCAAAATGATACCTTTTATTAAACCAACTGGGAAATCACAAGAAAAAGCTGGACCCAGAGAGACAGCTTTCCATCTGCAGCTTCCTCTGTGCAAAAATGTTTATTTCCAACCTATGGGGACTTTTTACCATTGATGCTTTTCCCAGAGCCTGATGAAGGGGCTTTGAGCCCAAAAGCTTGCAGAAAAGTGCAGTTTTCTTGTGATTTCCCAGTTGGTCTAATAAAAGGTATCATTTTGGAACCAAGAGTTTTAGATTTTTGTATTTCTTCTATGTTTAGTCCGTGCTTTTTTTTTATCCAGAAGGTTGATGAAGTGAAGTTCATAGGCTTATCTGTGAAAAGTAATTTGTGAATTCCCTTTGAGGATTAATACTGAGACACTGGAGAGAAAGTGGTTTTCTTGTG